AGAGAGAGAATTTTAATATTTATTTTTTAGTTATCGGCGGATACAACATCTTTGTTTTGTATGTGGTGCTGAGGATCGAACCCGGGCCGCACACATGCCAGGCAAGCACGCTACCGCTTGAGCCACATCCCCAGCCCTAATTGTCTTTTTTTTTGGTCTACTTTAATCTACAGCCGTTTTCCAGACCTTTTCTGTATGAGTTTCATGAAATTGACCTTTTAAAATATTCCTGGCTAGGTATTTTATAGATAAATCCTTAAATTGGATTGTTATCCTTTTCTGACTGTTGCCATATGTTTAAGTTCAGATTTTTAAAAAATATTTTTAATTTTTTTTTTTTTTTAGTTTTAGGTGGACACAATATCTTTATTTTTATGTGGTGCTGAGAATCAAACCCAGTGCCTCATGCATGCCAGGCGAGCACATTACCACTTGAGCCACATCCCCAGCCCCTAGGTTCAGATTTTTAAACATATATAGGAATATCACTTAGTGAAGTTGTATCCTTCTCAGTGTGTCACTGTTAGAAGCATGTGATGTTATTCTTTTGCATCATTGGTGAAGGCAGATTTGAGCCTTTGGTTAAGATAGTGTTTTCAGATTGCTTTGTCATAAAGGTGTGTTGTCTGTTACAGGCATCCTCTGTAGTGATATTTTCAGATGTGTGTGTCTTCAATTCCCCAATAGTCTCTCACCTATTGGAATCCACCGATTCTTGTTTGAATCTTTTAGGGGTTTTGTCAAGTGGTGATTTTCCATTTTGATCTTTCTTTCTCAATTTATTAGCTTGATTTTTGGTGAACAAGAGCTTTCCCTTCTGGGGTTTGCAGAATAATAGTCCTTCAAAGATGTCCACCTCCTAATTCCTAGAATCTGTGAATATGATAACTTTATTTGGCACAGGGCAATTGAGGTTGTAGAAGGAATTAAGATTCTTAATCAGATGAGCCTAAAATAAGGAGATTATTCAAGAGGGCCCTATGTAATCTCAAGAGTTCTTTAAAGTGGAAGAGAGAAGCTGGAGAGTCAGAGAGATGTGATGTGAGAAGGATTAGTCCTGCCATTGCCGTATTTGAAGATGCAGAAAGAGAGCCTGAAAATGAAATTATCTAGGGAAGATCTGTGCAGTACTCTCTTGTCTAATGGAGTGAATCCATGCACAGGGGACCTGTAAGCTTGTTTAGAATGTTATAACAGAAAATACGCTGCCAGCTTGGACTGAAAGATGAGATGAAAGAATGGTTAAGGATGAAGTGAAAGAAGGCTGTTGGGCCACCACATTCTATAGGCAAGAAGCCAGATGACAAAATTATTTAGCTGCAAAAATGCGTTAACTTTTATGGAAAAGGAAAGATAAATCCAAGGATGGATCCTTAACTTCAGAGGATAGACTTGTGAATCATGAGCATTATTCTGAGGTCTTCAAATCTAATGATGCTTGCCTTGCTTGATTTTTTAAATTATTGAGAACTGTGACTCCTTTTTTTTCCGTTCACTTTTCTACCCCTCCCCTTGGTGTTTTTATGGTACTGGGAATTGAACCTAGGGGTGCTATGTCCCCAGCCCTTTTTATTTTTATTTATTGTTTTTAATTTTTTTTGTTGTTGTTCAGGTACTAGGGATTAAACCTAGGGATTCCTTACCAGTGAGTTACCTTCCCCCATCCTTTTTATTTTTTATTTTGAGATAGGGTCTCATTGAGTTGCCCAGGCTGACCTTGAACTTGGGAAACTCCTGCCTTAGCCTGTGTAATAGCCAAGATTATAGATGTGCACCATTGTGCTCAGTAATTTCCTCCTGTTTTGAACAAGAATATCTAGAGCTGGTTTTCTGTGCTGTACTTCCATTGTATTTGGGTGCAAATACCTTGTTCCTGTTTTTCAGGTCCACAGATGGAGAGCAATTCTGCCCCAGGTTGAATGATACCCAGAGTCCCAGCTTTACTTATTTAGGTGATGAAATTTGGAAATTTTGAGGCGATAAATTTAGATGAGATTTTAAACTTTGAGTTGATAGGGATGTTAGGATAGGGTGAATGTCTTTTGCATGTGAGAAAGGTGTGAATCTTTGGGGGCCAGAGGTAGACCCTGGATTCTCCCCCACTCAGTATGTCCATGTCCTAATCTCTGAAACCTGTCAACTATTACCTTATTTGGCAAAGGAGAATTAAAGTTGCTAACCAGATGACCTTAAGATAAGGAGATTATCTTGAATTGTCTAAGTAGGCCCAACACAATGATAAGTGTTCTTCACCAGGGAAGAAAGAAGTAGAAGAGGTGATTGATGCGACATGAGAAAGACCAAACCTGAAATTGTTGCCTTGAAAGTGGAAGAGGAGACCATAAGCTACAAATGAGGGAATGGGGTGGCCACTAGAAGCTGGAAAAGGGAGGGAAACAAATGGTGCCCCGAGCCTGCAGGAGGGAACATAGATGTCTGTTTCTTTAGTGTGAGCCTGGGAAAATCTGTTAGACTTTTGACCTCCAGGGCTATGAAATGATGTGTTTCTGTTTAAACTGCCAAGTGTGGCAATTTTTATAGCAGCAAAAGAAAGCCATTGTGCCTTCTCACTTTCTTATCTGTTTTGATTCATGGATTCTTTTTTTATAAGTGCATTATAACCTAACTCTTTTTTTGTGTTGCAGTGACCAAAATACCTGACAAGAACAACTTGGAGGGAAAGTTGTTTGGGGCTTATGGTTTTAGAGGTCTTAGTGCATAGATGGTGGATTCCATTGCTTTGGGCCTAAGATGAGGCATCACATCATAGGGGAAGGGCCCAGTGGAGGAAAACTATGCAGCTCATGGTGAAGTCAGGAGAGAGGTGGGAAGGAGCCATAGGGAAGATGAAGCTTTCTAGGACATGCCCCCAGTGACCCATTTCCCACAGCCACACTCCACCTGCCTACAGTTCCATCCAGCCAGTCCATTTAAACTAGGATGGACTGAAGAGGTTACGGCTCTCAAAATCCAAACATTTCACCTCTTAACATTCCTACATTAACTGGCACTTTGCCCCAGGGGGTGGGGGTTCACCTCACATCTAAATTGTATAACTTTCTATAACTTTTCAATTTTACGTTCAAATTGTCTCAAATTTGGTCATTGGGCGCCCTTTGAAGCTCTTATGGCATGTTCCCAATCAGTTTTTGAGCATTTCTCTCGTTTTTGAAAAGTAAGCTGTTGCAGGCTCATCTTGTGCTTTCCTTCCCCAACTTGGAATCAGAACATATTTTGGTGAGCTGCACCCAGTCCTGCTCTTGTATCCTGTTCTGTGCTGAAGTAAATGCAAATCACTGCACTCTTTCTTACGCCATGCTGTAAAGACAATATGAACAGTGACGGATCACCGGGAAGTCTTGGGGTGTCCATGTGTTCATGCCTGTCTTTCTGTATCTGCTTGGCATGGAGCTCCTATCAGGGCTAGGCAAGGAGCAGCGAGGATTTATGAGGATTTTCACCTAAATTTAAAAAAAGAAATGGTCATCTTTGACTACAGAGGCTGAATATTATTCTAGAATCTCTCTGTGTCTGTCATACGCATTCAGAAATTGTTCAGTATGAATTCCTCTTAAAATATTGTCCTGTAGGATTCTTAGCTAACTTTCCCAGTTTGTTGTTGCACATAGAAAGAGATTGAATTTACTGTTAGTCTTTGAGGATATATCAAAACCCCGTGTGATCATAGGTTTTCCTTCCAGACAGGGCTTATAAGCACAGATGCTTGCAGGGATCTAGCAAGAAGTGTGCATGAGTGAAGCAGGCAGGGTACTGTGCTGACCTGGGTAGTGTGGGCCTGTCCTGAAAGGGCAGCTGTGCCACCAGTTTCTAATATGCTGGAAATCAGCTTTATTGGACTCAGGGCTATCTAGAGCAGGGTTCTAAGTCTTTTGGGTACAGTGGACCCTCTTGGCAGTCTGGAGACACCTAAGGGGCTCTTCTCAGGATAATGTTTTTATTTGTTTAAACTTTTTTGCAGAACTGGGGATTGGATCTAGGCACTTGAGAATGTTACCCAAACATTCTACCACTGAGCTAAACCCCCCAGCCCTAGGATAATGTTTGCTTTCTGTTTCTTTTTTCATGGTTCAGTAGGTTTTTATTGTGCAGTTTATATACATAGTTAATACTCTTATAACTATACCTCAGGGGTAACAACAGTGAATAAGCCATAGTTTCTTCCATTAAGTAGATTACAGTCACACATTGACTTTATGTGGTGATTGGGATTCTTTTTTTTTTTTTTTAATTCTCATTAGTTATACATGACAGTAGAATATATTTTGACATATAGAACAGATGAATGTATAAAGAAAATCTATATATACGAGTACTTACTACTCAGTAAGAAGTATTTACTACTCACTCATAAAGAGAAGTGAAAGTAAATGGATGGAACTGGAGACTATCTTGATAAGTGAAATAAGCCAATCCCCCAAAACCAAAGGATAATGTTGTTAAGTTGATTAAAAAAGTATAAGTGATTCAAAAGAAATCAGTTGTGTTGAAATATAGTAATGAAAATATTTTTAAAAATTGTGGTATGTATGTTTTTTGAAAAATCAGTGCATTGAATAACACATCTAGTGGAATTAACTTGGGTAATTCATAAATACTGTGATGAGAATGAGTGATATTTTGAGCTAACTGTAACAACTGTGAAGCAGTTTTAGAATGCCTGACATCTGTTGGGGGTAGGCTCACAGATGCTGTCAGTACTATGTGCTTTGCTGTCCATTTTCCTCATTGAAGGCATTGCTAAATTTCAACCAGAAACTGGCAAAAATAAAGATGGACATTTCACCTCTTATCCAATTAGTGAACCCCAAAGAGTCTCAGGGTAAGGACCTTTGATCCCAGATACTTTCAACTTTTAGTAGTACTATTAAGAGTAGGAGTATAATGTTAATGAGTATGTTTAAGCAAGCCGTCATGTTACAGTTCATTTTATTTTTACAGTTGATATTCAGTTTTCTGAACTTGATTCTGTTTTTCTTTAGAACGCTATCATTTGTCTTATAAGATTGTGCGAACAGACAGTCGCTTGGTACGCAGCATTCTGACAGCCCATGGATTTCATGAAGTAAGCTCAATTTTACTATCTCACTTGGTCTACTTAAAAGCTGAAAATCCTAGCCATCTAACCGTATCATTTACCAGAGCTAGCTCTGAAAAGTACTTGGTTCTCATGCTTAGTGATGATGGCAGAATTGGATAGAATTGATGAGTGGTTTTATCAGTTTCTTCTTATAATACATGGAAAGCATTTTCACAGGATTTTTTTTTTTTTTTTAATGTTCTTAGGCTTCAACTAGAGGCAGAGCTGCCCATAAAGGAATTGTCTGTTACCCAGTTAAGGTTCTTTGATGGCAAGCAACAGAAACAGACTCAGTTTAACCAAAAGGGATTTATAGGAAAGGTATGCAGAGGGTGGCTGGTGGAATCAGAGGAAAAGCCCAAAGTCAAGTCTTTGGAAAGAGGGAGACCAGGACAGCCTTGGAGATCTAGGGTCAGGAATCTCTAGTTCCTCAAGGAATGGCCATAGAAGTTACTGGACTTCAGTCTGGCTTGGTTCACAAATCCACTAACTTGGGGAGAGGGTTTGTGGGGGATTGGCAGGTCCTTTGAAACATAAGTCGTTCCTCCAAAGAAACATGGGAAATTGGGATGTTGTTATCAAAAAGGATAGGTAAAAATGCTCAAGAGACTTCCACTCTAGATACTTTGAGAATAATGATGGAAGTCTGATTGCTAGCTCCGTATAGAATAAGGAGATAACTCAGATTGAGATTTCTCCTTATTCTATAAAGAGGAGATATTTGGGGGGACATTGTCATATCCATTTATATTCTGTATTGTTGCTCTTTTATCACCAGTGTTATCATGGTCCTATTACATAATAGGTATGGAGTTCTTAATTATTTAATGAAGGGTCATAGGAATTTTAATGAATGAATAAATGAATGGTCTAAGTTGGTTGACTATTGTAAGGTTTTAGTTCTGATCAGCATCTATCTGTAATGGCATAAGGAAAGTCTGAGGAAGGAGTTTTGGGGTTGGGCCCTGATCTCAGACTTTGATATGCCAGAGGATATGAGATCGTATCAAGTTCTATACAGGAGATTAATTTATTCTATTTTGTGCATCTAGGATTTCCCCAATTTTCTCATTCTTTAAACATGATTATCTTGTGTTTTGTGACAATCTTTTCTTACAGTGCTCACATACTAATTGGGTTACCTTGTGAGTTCTCTTTAGATGAAAATCAATATGACTTTCCTACTATTGCTTTTCCTGGAAAGGATTTTTTTTTCTTTCCATGTTTCTGTCTGCCCACAGGTTCACCCAAGCAGCACTGACTATAACTTGATGTGGACAGGATCCCACCTGAAGCCCTTCTTACTTCGCACCCTCTCTGAAGCACAAAAGGTTAATCACTTTCCCAGGTAATGCTCCTGTAGCTGCTTTGTTGCATTTAGAGGTAGTTGACATTGGAACACGTGGCTGGCAGAGATAGTTACATTCTTTAAAAAAAAAAGAAAGAAAGAAACTGGCCAGGCATGGTCATGTGTGCCTGTAATTCCAGTGACTTGGGAGGCTGAAGCAGGAGGATCACAAGTTTGAGTCCAGCCCCAGCCAACTTAGTAAGGCCCTAAGTAACTTTGTGAGATCCTGTCTCAAAAAATAAAAAGAGCTAGGGATATAGCTCATTGGTGGCAAAGCATTCCTGGGTTCAACCCCCAGTATCAAAAAAAAAAAAAAAAGAAAAGAAAGGAAATCTGGTCTAGGACATCAGTCCCTGGGCAGGTACAGACACTTTTCAAGGACTGTAGAGGCATAGGTGGTTTTAAAAGAGAAAGCTGCTTCTTTGTTTTTGTTTTTTTTTTGGTGGATAACCTGTGATTTATTTTATAAACTTAACATCATGGTAGTGAGTTTCTGGTGGAGTAAGGCTGTTCACATGGCATTCAGGAGGCAGAGAGAGAGAGAGAGCGAGAGTGCACAAATAGAGCTGCTGCGGCTGCTGCTGCTTCTTCTTCATCTTTATTTATTTATTTATTTTTATTTGGGGCTGAGGATTGAACCCAGTGCCTCACACATGCTAGGCAAGTTCTCTGCCACTGAGCTACAACTGCAGTCCCCAAATTGAGCTTCTCAAAAGCACCTGTGGTGGGTGTGTTCTCCTTTCTTATCTCCTCTTCCCCTTTTATAAAAGAATGGCTCATCTGGTATCTTACTATGATGCATTGTCCATAGGTGTAAAAATGTCCAGGGTTCCAAACAAAGGTACAAAATAATTAATGTCTAATTCTAGCAATAGCATAACACATTCTTCTTCCATGATGTGGTTTCCATTTCTTTGCTTTTAACAGAATTAAAGATGCCATGATCTAGTTGTCAATAAGTTATAATGGCAGATTGTTTTGTGATTTGTTTTTTGACATATAATTAAGAAGAAATTCAAATAATTGCGTTGTTTGGCTATAGAAAGCTCTTTCCGGTTGTGTTTGTTAAGGCAGCTTCCAGAGACATGCCTTGTGGATAGAAGCACAGGCTTTGTAGCCAGCTATCTGGGTTCAGATTCCAGATCTGCCAAGTGACCTTAGGCAAGTGGTCTCTCTGGGCATCAGTTTCCTCACTGGTAAAAAGCAGGTGCTAATGGCAGGCAAATACGTACGGTTGTGAGGATTTAATATATCAAGATGTGAAGTGTTTACGGTGGTGCCTGCCACCTAGTGTGCACCCTGTGGGTTAGCTATATTTATGTGAACAGTTTCTTAATGTGCATCTGTGAGAAAGGACAAGAAAGTTAATGCTGCAACCCTATCTTATTCTAGCAGCATTCATGGAGAGATATGTGGCCATATGGAGAGGGTAGCCAGTCTCCCTGATCTAATGGAGAGATGCAGATCTAATGAAAGTTTTTATTTGGTCAGTGGTTACATTTTATTTTATCTCCAGGGCTTGTACCCCAAATAAAACCAGTTTTATTTTCAGTTCTCTCATGTGCTTTTGTCCTCATGTTCATGATACGAAGCTGTTTCTTGGTTTTTCAGTTCTTTTATTGTGCATGCAATGTGTGTAAATATTGGCCTGTACTCTCTCTTGTCAGATGGTTTCTTCATAGTCTTGGATAATTGTATGTCTTCATAGTAAGTTCCATTTTTATTTATGTCTGAACTTCATTGGCAGAAAATAATTTAAACCTTAAATTTTCTTCCTTGGTGCCTGGATTTGGTTTTCTAAATGTGTGACTGCATGCTTGAAGTAGAGCAGATGCATCTGTTTAAAAAAGGTCTTTAAACAATCTTTAAAATAGCCCATGCTACAGTCTGCCTTCCTAATTCATATTAGTAGTATATTAATTATTTTAATAGTTTTTGAGTATTCCTGTACTTGTGTAGAAATTTCATCTCAATTTGGACTCAGTAATATAAATTCCAACATATATTTTCCTTGACTGCTCTTTGAATGCTTTATACTTGGAAGTTTGGCAACATTGATAATTCATTTTCTAGTTGCAGTAATTTTGTGACTTCTGCTATATCCTTCCTGTTTTAATACAAATTCTTGTAACTCACATGCAAGAGAAATTCAAGCACTTTATTAGCAGTATTAAATATTGTGCACTTTCTTAATAAAACTTTTCAACTTTAATCTTAGACTTACAGAAAAGTTGGAAATATATTATAAAGAGTTGCTATTTTTTTTAACTTAATTTCTTGTGATAATAGCTGGCCTAAGAATAGTATAATTATCAAAACTAAGAAATTAACAGTAATATAATACTATTGACTGAAGGGAAAGCGAGGAATGAGAGACAGGTAAGCAAGAAATTAAAGACAGAGACCAGTCAGAGACACATACACGAGTTTGTCAGAGCGGATAAATAAAGGCCATCTCTCTTCAGGAGAAGAGGCAAAACAAGCTTGAGTTCTGGGACTTTTATGGGGGATGCTCAGGAATCAGAGTTGGGCGGGCTAGTCCTAATACAGTTGGTTAAGGTTGGGTTGGTGTGAGGGAGTGGTGAGCCTTTCTTAGAACCACCCAAGGGCGGGAAATTGAACTTTTTCCTTAAAATGATGGCTGTCACTTAATAAGATGGCTAAGCAAGGACCTTATATTTGCTGTACTACAAATGTTATTATTTTACCAGTTTTTCTACTCTTTTTCTGTTTAAGGATCTCACGTTAGCATACAGTCATCATGTATCCTTGACTTCCTCCCCATCTATGACAGTTCCTAAATGTTTCATTGTTTTGCACAAATTTCTATTTTATATCTTGGGGATGGTACCCAAGTTTAAACACAGAATTTATTTGTTTCATAAATAAACATACATAGCCCAAAAGTAATTTTATACAATATTTTAAATCATTTTGAGTAATGATGTAACTGGTCTGGGGATGTAACTCAGTAATAGAGCACTTGCCTAGCATGTGCAAGGCCTGGGGTTTAATCTCCAGCACCCTAAGTAATAATAATAATAACAACAACAACGCTAACAATAAACTTTGTGTATGAGCCAGTTTTATGGTATAGAATTTTCCACTTGGGTACTAGGTTGGTATTCAAACAATTTCAGATTTTGGAGCATTTTGGATTTTAGATTAAGGATGGTCAACCTGTAATATACTTAATTTAAAATTTTTAATATTTAGGGTGTTTTGATGTATACTACATTACTTGCAATGATAATCATATACATACACATGCTCGCACACACACAGACACACACACATATTTACTGATCCTAAAGAAAGAACCTGGAGTCAAGGGAGAGATTCTGGACATTTTATTGCTGATGCGTTCCTCCTTGGAGACAGACTGGGCTAAGACAGCCCTGTGGTGCTTGTAAGCTGGGGGAATCCATAGGATGGGTGCAGGTGGAGTTTCTCAGATGTTTTATGAGCACATTCTTCTGCTTTACAACCAAGGTCACTCTGCTTTGATCCTCACCTAAAGGTTGGAGATAAGTGAAGTGGCCAGTCCTCTTCCGCTTTCCATTCCCTTCATTATCACATTCTTTTAGGGTTCTTATCTCACTGCAAGCTTTTCTAGGCACTGATTAGTGTTTAACCAGAGAAAGCCTTATGATCAAAGGAGATTTTAATTTCAAAATGTATACATTTGCTAGAGAGAAAGTATGGTATAATGTAAAGACAAGCGTTAAATATGTTCTCTTAGGAGAATTGAATGGAAGACTGGATGCTGCCTAGGTAGAGAGAGGGAGGCTTCTGGTGACTGGATATGTTCCCTTCTCGGTGTGAGTGGTAGCTACATAGGTGTTTTTTTGTACTTTGTTAAAATTTGTCATGCTGCACCTGTAATTTGTGTCCTTTTCTGTATGTTAGCTTCAGGAAAACGTGTATTTTAAAAAGTAAAAATTACTGACCAACTTCACTGAGCTTTTTCTTTAATAGCATTTTAAAATTGTTATGGGAGGTATTGAATCTTTATTTTATTTAGATTTCCTTGGATACACTTAAAAGTGTTGTGCTAATAGTTTTACTTTAAAATTATTTACAATTCATCAGTTTCTTGGGAACAGTTTAAAATTTGTGATGAAGAATCCTAGAGGCTGATGTTGCTGAAAGCTTGGTCCTTGTCTCCAATGCCAATCCAATAAAGAGGACATGGTTTTAAGAAAAAGGAAAAAGAAGGTTTATTGCTTTGCTAGCAAATGAGAAATAAACACAGAGGACCTCTGTCCCAAAGGTGGTGATTCTTCCCATCAGCAGGAACTGGGGTTTTTTAAAGAGGTGATTCAGAGAAAATAAGATTAGGGAGGAGAGATCAGGAAGGAGAAGATCAGGGAAAAGAAGTTTGGAGAGGAAGGTCAGGGAAAAGAAAATCTGGGAGGAGAAGATCAGGAAGCAGAAGGTTAGGGAAAAGAAGATCAGGGAGGAGAAGGTGGGGGAGGGCGGGAAAGGGAAAAAAACATGTAAGTTTCAAAGTCGCAAGGGATATAGTCAAAGCATCGAGTGAACCCGTTACACTGATTTAAACATGAGAGGATATGATACATGGTTTCCTAACTATGGAGGAGGTACCAAGCAGAGCATCTGAACACCACTAATATTGGGTATTTGTAGGAGAACAAGTTTTTTTTTGTTTTTGTTTTTCCCCTTACCCTCTGGCTCTTTGTTTCTAATTTTTTAATGATAAGAATTACCTGGAGTACTTTAAAAAAAAATTTCAAATCTATTTTTATTCTTTTTAGGTATACATGATAGTAAAGTCTATTTTGACATATTTATACAAACATGAAGTATATTCTAATTAGGATCCCAGTGTTGTGGATGTATGCAATGTTGAAATTTACTGTGGTGTATTCAATATGTACATAGGAAATTTATGTCTGATTTATTACACTGTCTTGGGGTATGTTTTAGAATGATACATTCTCAGATCACTCTATAGATCATGGAAATCATCATCTTCA